TGTCGTGAGCTCAGTCCCAAACAAAATCTTCATGCAACCTATCTCAAGTTGTGAGCCTCTATGTCTCACGTCGTGAGGATCCTTTTTCTCCAAAATCTAACCTTTTGACTCCTTGAAACCCGAACTCGATTCGTCCTGCAAAAAACGGGTGTTACAAGTGGATTATATATGTACAAAATTTTAACAAAATTTCTTTAGTATTTTTCAATATTTAATCTTTAATAATTAACAACCTTTTAGTTTCCAAAAACATTAATTATCAAAGTCTAGGATACAAGTTGCAAAACAAATAAATGGTTATGGTACATTTATGTCATTAATTTTGAATTCAACCCGGTAGACATTGAGTATTAATTATATTCTACTATGTAATACCTAGATTTATGGGATCTCTAATAACAAATTTAATTAGACATGTTTGATACCATCTATGCCTCGAAACTCCCTTGCTTATGTATCCTTTATCACAAAAGATTTCCGAACAAATCATCCAATTTGAAAAACTTGTGTAATCGGCCTATAACTACATTATAGAAATCAGGAATACTACCGGGCCATCAAAAGATAATACTAAGCGGTTAGGTGACTTTTATCCCACTAGTGCATACAAGAGATGTGCGAGTGTTTTTCAAAATGGATTACATATATTTGAGGTTTGAAAGGGGTCTTTGATGTTTTTATAATTCTAGTTTAAAAAACATATTATATCATGGTTATTACATGCATCCAATAAGCCATGGTATACTTTAAAAAAAAATCTTAGTTTATTTAAAATCACAATTTAACAATGTTATTTTATAAAATCCAGTTTTATAAATTAACGCGGTCAAATTTTAATAGCTAGTATTAAGTTCAACGTGTGAGCACTTTAGAACATTTGTAAACCTTTTAATAAAAGTTCCTTTTTATAAAATAAGGTTTGGAGTTTGATAAGTTTACAAATCTCTATTTTACACTTATATTAATTTAGTCCCAAAATGTTACCGGTTACTAGTTTTAACGGTGAAGCTTGTTTTAGTTTTAAAAATATTTTACCATCTTATATTACAAGATAAAATTCATTAAAACCAAACTATTTTTTTATGTTTATTTATGTCTATATATTATTTTGCATTTGAAAATTTGATTTATCAACCATAAAATAATAATAAAAACATATAAAATAAACAACACAAACATGTTAAAAACATATTGTAAGTCTCCAATTCGCTTATGTATCAATCAGATCCGTTTGATGGTGCGGAATCCCAATCAAACGGATGATGCCAGATCAAAATAGAAGAGAATGAGAAGAAGAATAATATGAATCTTCAATGTATTGATGAATGGAATGATGCTCCTTTACATGAGATTCACACACACACACACACATTTAAGCTCCTTTCTCTCTCTCTTGGCTATACAGTCTCTCTCACGCTCCTCACCCTTTACATCTATTTATATGATGGACATGGGCCGTGAACAGGTTTCAGTCCTAGACGGAAAATTACAATTGCCTAGAAAACAAAGTATAAACCATAATTTTAGACCCAACACATATGTACATAAACCAACCAACTAATGACATTTTGTGAGCCATCACAAAATGCCACGCCCATTCCTAAATGGACATTTAAAGAAACCAAAAATCTTCTAGTATGTTGTTGTAAAAGCTCCCACTTGAGAAAACATCCATTGCATGCAAAAGGTTGAAAAGCTTTTTGAAAGTAATAATTCATCACTGCAACACTTTAAGGAAGTGTTGCAGAAAGTGTCACAAAAGCTCCAACATCCTTTAAGGGAGCTGACAACAGTGAGAGCTTTAGTAAGTTTCAGGAAGTGTCACTATTTTCCATGCACACTACATATTCATTTCATGTTACATTTTTGTACAAATAAATTACTATATTACTTACAAAAATAAATGAAAAAAAACTAGTATATTTAATTATCACATACCATATGAATAAATAAATATTACAACCATTTTTTCAACAAATTAACACAAACAACAACAAAAAGGTCATTGGCTAGTTTATGCTCATCATATAATATTTATATACTCAAAATTATAAAGAAACAACTATTTGTTTTTCTAAGACAACTTTCATGACTAAAAAAATATGTGTAAACTTCTACTATTAAAATAACAATTATAAAAATTTTAAAAGTTGTCACAGAAAATATGTATGGATTTTTCTTGCATAGAGAAAACCATCCATGTTTTCCAAAAATACAGATTTAATCAACTTAAGAAATAATCTAACTATTCTTGCAAAAATGGCGTTGATAGCAATTGTTGAGTTTTTTATTCAAAAATTGTTTCATAAACACAAACATAGCAAAGAAGTCTTAAACTTTGAACAAAATAAAATAGTTTTATTCCCACCAAAAGATCATTTTGTAAGACTTAGAAAGATTAAAATAACCATAAAAAAGGAAAGCAAAACAACATTTGAAGACTTTGGTTCCTTTTGGCAATTAAGAAGTTGATGAAGATGGATTTAAGCTCCAAGGAAGAACCACTCTAGAAGTATCCACCAACATTTAGTCAACTTGATAAGATGCTAGTCTTCATCTTGTAATAAAAGAATCTCTTAAGCCTTTAAGAAAAAAAAACAAGGCTCTTGTTCTAAAGGAGAGTTTCAAGTAAAGTATCAAAATTCTTCTTACTTTGATCTTAACACTTTAAGAGATAAAACAAGAGAGAATATGGAGAATGGAAGGAAGAAATTTCGTGGTTTTTGGCTTATAAGAGAAATGGGAAAACCAGTTCTTTTAAGTCCTTACTTTTAGCCTTTATCCCATGAGTCTCAGCACTTTGACACATGTTTTATCAAATCAACTATCTATGCTTTCTAAAAGCATGGTGTGTTGAATAAGTTAATCAAAACCAAGTCTTCTTTCTTCTTTATGGTCTCCTTGAATAATTTATAATAAAAGAAGTTATTATTTTTTTTTTTTTAAACTCTTCTAATTTTCATAACGTATAAAATATATAAATCCATATAAGACAAAAATAATTTTTCGTCCAAAAAGATGTACATGACATAATAAATCATACGTTACGATATATTATGATGTGTTTTGGTATTTAACATTTAAAATTAATATTTCCATGAAATGATTAATTTTCAATTAATTAAAATAATAATATTTATTTATCAATGATCAAATTCTTATAAATAATATATTTGCATCAATTTGTTCTCGGTATGATCCTATAGGATTATATATTATCGAAGAATATCATTCTATAATGACTCTTGAACATATAGATCTTTCAAAACGATCCAGCATACCAGCCCAACGGAACAAATCATATTCATATATGAATACATATGTTTATATATATATATATATATATATATATATATATATATATATATATATATATATATATATATATATAGATATTTCAAATGATCCAGCATACCAGCCCAATGGAACAGGTCATATTCATATATGATATGACCTGTTCCATATATATGAATATGACCTGTTCCATATATATATATAAACATATGTATTCATATATGAATATGACCTGTTCCATTGGGCTGGTATGCTGGATCATTTGAAATATCTATATATATATATATATATATATATATATATATATATATATATATATATATATTATATATATATATATATATATATAAAAGAATATGTGTATTCATATATGAATACTTATCGCTGATAAAAGAAATTATAGGAACTATTAATCATTTGTCAGTACTGTTCCTTCAAATATTTTGGTTGTTAGCAAACAATCGAATATTTTGGTTGAGTCATGCTAAGATCATCAGTTATTTAGCTTATAATAGTGTCCATCCCCACAAAAAATCTTCATGTAAGGTCATCTTTCGTATTGTTGATAAAACATCGACTCATCCTTGACTCGTTTTACGCTAGTGGTTATACTCGTAATGGTAAGTGTATATTTATAGATGTTGTATCTGGAAGTTTGAAGCATGGTTAAATTTGTTCTTTTCCTTTATATTCTTCGTTAGGGATATGTGTTTGATTAAGATGTCATTTACTGGAGTTTCCATTTCATATTAAATTAAAATGTTAAGTTTAGATGTGTTATTTATTTTGTGTGAAATTCCCAATTGATTTCACTCAAATTATCACATTTGATACTTCAAGTTTGCCTCACACAGTAAACGATGTTAAGGTTTCTTAATTTTTTTTTACTTAATGCAGACGAGAGTGGAACACTAGTCAATTGAATGAGTTCTAGCTAATTAAGGAAAATCTTAAAGTAGTTGGTATAATCGTTGGTATAGAGATTAATTTCTTATGGTAAACTTTGAAAATACAATTAGTATATTTTATGTTAACCTTGAAGATAATGGAAAGATTTTTGGTAGGACACATATAGATGTGTGGTTAAACTCGATTAATTATTATTGTATTTAGCTTTTATAATTCTTTTTGTTTTCTTATTCGCTATTTACTTTGGTCATATTAAAATTGCTCGTTAATTCCTATTTGTCATCCCAATCACTATCATTTACTCACAACAATCAAACATTTACATATTGTAAATTAGCATTTCTGTCTAAATATGTATATAATATAAGTTTGGTTGGTTGAAGGAAAAAGGAAAGAATAAAAAAATAAATGTTTTGTGTTTTTTTTTTTTCTAAAAAATATATACAAGATGAAATTTTATTCATTTTAATTAAATTACAAATATGGTCATTGTGGTATATTACATTTTTCATAGTTGATCCAAGGGTATATGAGTCGTTTTAAAAATATTAACATTTAAAGTTAGATTTACCAGCCGAAAAAACAACAATGTAAGGTTTACAAACCACAAGGGCCACCCGTGTAACCCTTCCAAAAAATATTCTGAAAGTACAACATTTTGGAAACTATGGATCATTTATGAAATTTTGTCATTATATATAGATATATATATATATATATATATATATATTTATATATATATATATATATATATATATATATCTATATATATATATATATATATATATATATATTGAGGAGTAGATAGGCAGCTCAACTCCAACTTTGCCTCCATATTTTTATTCATTTGGTGATAGAGTTTGCTTCGCATGTATATAGCATACATGATCGTGTCACCAATTTCCATGAAACTTCAAAACTCTGAATCATCGGTCACTACTTTTTGGTTGTGTCTTCTTTTGTTCGGTGTTCATGGCGGAGCACGGCTGACACTGCCGAAAAATGTTAATGTGCCGGCTGTTATAGCGTTTGGTGACTCAATTGTGGATCAAGGAGCCAACAATAATCTAAACACTTTGGTTAAATCAAATTTTTCTCCCTACGGAAAGGATTTTGTCGACGGAAAATCAACCGGAAGATTTTCCAATAATAAAACTCCAGCTGATATGATCGGTAAAATTTGAGTTGCGCTTTACTTTGGTTGTTTTCTTGTATTTATTTTTCTTTGTTTTTAGTTTTTAATCTGCATGCACGTGTGATGGCCATTTGTCTCCTTTTTCTACTTTCTAAACCTTTTTTATTAAGTGCTTTTGCAGATAATTAATAAAAAGTAGAAGATATTTTTTAAGTATTCCAAAAATCATATCGGATTGATGAAATTTTCGTCATTTCGGAATATATAAAATCAGGTTGTAAAAATGTTTAGTACATATTTTAGTACATATATAGTGTCGTTATATACTATAAAGTGATTTTTTTATTAACGAATACCATGTAATGTTAAAACCTAGGATATAAGTCCATACCCTAAACATTTATGTCTATATGAATAAGAGTACGTGGCGATATATATATATATATATATATATATATATATATATATATATATATATATATATATATATATATATATTTCAATACACGTTTCACCCTTCTATAATGATAATATTAACTTAATTTTCTATTTGTAAATAATATTTCAATCATTATACATACGTTTTACTTGAAATAATCTAAGTTAACTTTCTATTAATGTTTTAATGTATAATGGTGTATACAATAGCTTTTTTGGCCATATATATGAGTGTATATATAGCGAGGAATGCCTATTAGTTTTTGGTTTTATGGATATAATTTTGCTATTTAATAGAATTAAGTTATCGGTTTAGCATATTAAAATATGTATTAATAAATTAATATTTGCAAATTTTGATAAAACATAATTACTATAGATGTAAAATAATCTTGTATCACACATAAGTAAATAGACATTACAACGAATACATATAGAGTTCAAATGAATTTCATTTCAATTTCACTCTTGTGGGTTCGTAGTTAAGCAGCCCACGCACACTCACACCCGCTGCAACATAGATCCAAATAGAGAAGAAATGAAAGCCATAGAAAAAAAATTTTCTATTCATCGGATTCCGCTACCCACTTTATTCCTTTCACAGTTTCTTGAAAACACATTCATGTAAAAAACAGGTATTTCGATAATTAATTATGCAAGGAATCAAAGACTTAGTTAGAAATAAAGATATATAGCTCTATATTTCTGTGAGAACTCTTTTTTTTGGGTCATAAATGGCTATCATTTTTGTAAGAATAAACAAATCATTTTTCATATAGTGAATTAATTGTCATTTTGTTATACTTGTTAAAATGTTGGTTATAAATGAGTTTCTTATGATAGGTATTAGCTAGTTTCAAGAATAGCTCTTATAATAAAACCCCCCAAGGCCCCAACGGTCCCCTCCAAGTCTCCTAGATTTTTTTTTCTCAAAACAACATAAACATGTCTTCACATATTTCATTCATACATGTTAATGTTTGTATCTGCAGCATCTTTATCACTCTTTTCACTATGGTCCTACCTCCCTTTCTCTCACTTAATATGCATTACGTCTTGCCATAAATCATGATATGGAAAGCTCATTTCATATCCAACCGAGGAAGATATCTCTAACGTCTTAGGTTACACAACCTTTTTGATAATAATTAATGGATTTCTAAAAAAATCTATTAGAGGCTTTAGGAATTGATGTCAATAGCAGTGGCGGTGGTTAAGCAACGAAGCACCGTTGTTGTTGTTATGGGTGCCCATGGAAGTACAAAAGAAAATTAAAGTTAATAATAAATATAAAAAAAAAAGTAAAATATGAATTTTTATACAAGTTAAAAATTCTAGTAAATAAATTGCTTCACTTTAAGGGCCAATAATAAGAAAATATGTTAAAAAAAAGTCTTTGAAGTTTAGCTTTATTAATGCAGAAGTCATTCTTAATTTTTTTTACAATTAAGATAATGGTAAACGTTTGAAAAATAATTTTTGTATCCGGTTAATGCATGTTTTCAAGACATAATTATAAATAAACAATTAGAGATGACTTTTAATTTTTTCCTTAATAAATTTAAAGTTTAAGGATTTTTTTTATATATATACTTATATTTATTTTTTAAAAAACTCTAAATAAAATTACCATCTACATCAATTTCACTAAATAACTCATATTTATTTATTAAAAATCACAATAATGATAATTACATATATAATTTTTGGGTTTTTGTGATTAGTTTCAATAAATATCATAACTAATTAAAATCATAAAGATGTCATTTGTATTCTATAAAACTTAAGTTAACTTTATTAATTTGTCACAATAAAACACATTTCTAGCAAGATGATACTTGATTGTTAATTTTTAGGTTTTGAGTGTAAAACGTTACCACTAAACTGCATCCACCAAAAAGTCTTTTAAAATAAAACGACACCTTAAAAAATAAAGGTTTTCTAATTGCTATTATTTTGAAATAGAGCTCAATTATACACTATGTGCCCTATAACGTGCTCACATTTAGTTATTTTTGTAAATTGTTTTTTTTTCGAAAAAATAAAGTAGACACAATTTACAAAATAATTTTCATTAACCATCGATTTCGCTGTGGGCATTATAAAAGATGTTTTGGCACTCCAAAATGCATCATCCATATTTCAAGCTGTTTTTTTATCTACTTCTCCGTTTTTTACAACAAATATATTTATAAAGTTTCAATATAAGGCCACAAAAAATATTTTTTTTAAACTTTTTTTATGATATTCGTTAAAATAGGACAAATTGCACAGTGAAACTGTGTGAAGAACAATTTTGTTTACTCCGAATGAATCTCCTATCACTGATTTCATTACGAGGTTAAGGCTAAGGAGAGTGGTAACACTCTTAGCACCTTGCCACATCAACTTTTTGAGTGACACCTCATTTTTTTCCATTTGACATTTAATCTTAGCATTTGTTAGGGAGTGGTAACACTCCTACCATTTTTTTTTTCTAATTTAATTAAATTACTTTATTTTAATACACAAACATATATGTACAAATATTAATCAGATTTTATTTTTTTAAACCACCAACAACTAATATAATATTTAAGTGTCGGTCCTTTTGCTTCTTTTAAATCAATGTTTGATGCTTGGGATCAGATTTGTAGGGAATGATCAAATGAGGGTTAAAACAATTTAATTGAAATCAAAGTTTTGAATATTGGACTATATTTGTAAACAAATTTCTAGTGAGGGTAAGAATCATTTATTTGGAAATGAAGTTTTGGAATGGGAAATGGTTTGCTGATTAAAAAAGCATACGCATGTGGAGAAAACAATTGAGAACCAATCAGCTGCAAACACATGTGCAAAAAACAACTGAAAATCAATGAGCTGCACTTTTTCTTTCTCTCTCCGTTCGCCAAGAGGTTGACGACTATAATTAGCGAGTCTTTCTAACGAGTTGATAGGGGCGGTATTTCAACATTGTTAACGAGGCTGGCGAGTCCTGTGGCGACCCCCACTCCTTTTAGTCTAACAGCCCATTAAAAAAGTCCCTAAAAACTGTGAAACCCCTTGATTGGTTTCATAGTGCCAAACCCCACTTTAAATTTGTACTTTTCTAGTGCCAAACCGCACTTTGTACTTGTGTACGTAGTGCCAACCACGAATAAAGATAACTTTTCTTTTTCTTTTCCTCATTAACTAAACTAACCAATTAACTCATTAGTATGAGTTTATTTCATCTAATAATTAATGGTTGGGCGATTTCATAGTATGGTCCATAGTGTGGGTTTTGTACTTTTGTTGTACCTAAAAGGATTTATTTGTAGAAAGTATACTGGTATGAATTTATTCCGTCGCCAAAATGGATAACTAATCTGTAGAAATTTAGCATCGGATTGACTAATGAAATCGTTATTCATAGCGAGATTTGAAAAGTATTGTTGTGGATTACTCATCGTTCAATCATCGCCTCTATACCATTAATAACGGACACACATTCATACGTGCATATATTCATTCATACATACATACATAAATACAAAAACAGATTATTACTTTTTTTTTATATCGATAATAATGATAATAATAAATTCCATTGGGACTATATGCATTAATGATTAAAAGCACCAATGATTTTTTTATTTGTTTTTTATTTTTAAAAACAAAAACCAAATATACTGAAACGTATAAATTAAAAATATGAATGATGATGTAGTGATGTTAACTCTTTAATACACTGCTTATATGGTATTCGTTGATTTATATATAAAAAAAAAAAATACTTGTTTTTTTTCCACGTTTAAAAAAATAAAAAAATTAGCCAAGGTTTCTGTGTTAATCTAACTAAATAATACTCAAATATGGTTCTGTTTCTTCCGTCCACAATCGGGAGTTCGAGTAAAATAAAGTTATTAATAACCATGTGATGAAAATTAATTTCTTTAATTGAAGGGTTTGTCACTTCCATGGCTCTTTGTCCAGTGTTCAACTAATTTAGATCTTCTTTTGTTGTATCTCGGTAAAATAATTTGACGTAGAGAAATTAAATAAGCATGTTTTCATCTGTTTTTCAGTTAATGAACTAGGGATAAAAGAACATTTACCGGCATATCTTCAGCCATCCCTTGATGAGAAAGAGCTTCCAACTGGTGTAAGCTTTGCTTCTGGTGGGTCCGGATATGATCCTCAAACACCCAAGCTAGTGGTAATTTGCAAACCTTTCTTAATGCATATGCTTTATATTTTAAACTCTTTATATAATCAATAGCATCAATCTTTTAACTAAATCTTTGTGTATTAATTAGGGGGTTTTCTCATTTGCTGACCAACTAAAACAATTCAAAGAATATATAGAGAAGCTCAAGCGTATAGTTGGAGAAGAAAGAACCCAAAACATATTAGCAAACAGCATGTTCTTGGTGGTTGCAGGAAGCGATGATCTTGCTAATACTTACTTCACTATCGGAATTAGGAGATTACAATATGATATCCCTTCTTACACGGAACTTATGGTATCATCAGCGTCGAACTTCATACAGGTATATTTAATATTTGTTTAGTTCTTTAATTTTTATCCTTTTGCCCACTCGTTATTTGTAAGTTTAGTTAAAATTGGAAACTGAGACTACGATAGCTAGTAAAACATGTGTCTTTTTATAGTTAGATCGGATTTAGTTTGAAAGTAATATTGTGATATACTGATATAGATAACCATTAATAATGTATTTCGATTACATTGAAGGATATATACCAACTTGGAGCAAGAAGAATAGCGGTCTTTGGTGCACCCCCAATAGGATGTTTACCTTCTCAAAGAACTCTTGGGGGTGGTGGGCTTAGAGTTTGTGCAGAAGAATACAACAAAGCAGCAGAAATATATAACAAGAAGTTGCAACAAGAGCTTGTGTACCTAACAAAGACTCACGCACAATCTAGGATCCTCTATCTCGACATATACAACCCCATTCTTGCAATTATTGAAAACCCTGTCCAATATGGTACGTTTAATTACTATGATGCATGTAGTCCAAGTTTTTACATATATTTTTAGTTGTTACTCTAACAAGTTAATTAAACATCTCATACATCAGGAATAGAAGTTGTGGATAGAGGCTGTTGTGGCTCAGGAAAGATAGAGGTTTCGGTTTTATGCAACCACTTACTCCCGACATGTTCTGATGATTCAAAATACCTTTTCTGGGACAGTTATCATCCTACAGATAAAGGATATAGCATCCTCGTAAATCAACTGCTTGAAAAATATATTAACGATTTCTTTTGAGGTTGCTATGGACCAAAGACTCTCATAAGTGAACCGAGGAATGATGTTGTTTGACTTATCTATAATAGGGATTAGTTTACTAGTTTAAAGTATCTTTTTACAGGGACGATTTTATTTTTATCAATATGTGACACGTCCTTTATATGAAATACTTGTTTTTTCCCTGATCATTTACATTGTATCACTGTAAATAGGTGATACTCTCTCTATTGTATGTATTGGTTTTCCACTACACAAAATATTAAAGTGTTCTGCAGGTTTTCCATATTTTCTCTGTATTTTATTCATACTTGTTCTTTATTTATGTTGTTTATCTTGGTTGCTATAATTCCTTATTTCACACTTAGCCTAAGGACCATTAATCTTCATCAATTGGTATCAAAGTCACAATGCTCTTTATTACTCTGTTCATACTTGTTCAGTATTTATATTCTTATCATGGTTGTTGTAATTCCTTATTATACACTTAGCCTAGGTACATTTAATCTTCATCAACTGGTATCTGAGCTTAGTGGTTGGCTTTCTCTTAATTTTTTGGATTATCATTAGAAGAGAACACTAGTTATCTTTAATTTATGAAAATGTTTGAGAAAGAACTCTTTATGTACCACTTTGCTCAAATATTTTCGGAAATCATGGCTAAACATAACTACCAACCATTATAATCGATGAATGTTGCAAATTATGTAGAATATTCTGTACTTCTACAAGAACACATATACTAATAATAGAAGAGTATGATCACTATCGGATGACAAAGTATTTAAAAAGAAAAGGGAAGGATATTTGGAGATTTATAGAGTTTGGCCTTAATACCCCCAACGGGAACATCCGGTGATGTGATACTATTAACCGCTAAATGGAAGCAACCATTAAAATCCAAAACATGAAATCTGCCGGTGTACCCCTCGCTGTGGTTTCTGCCATACAAAACCTTATTCCACAAGGGCTACTCCTTTAGTCCTTTATGGTTTCAATCACCAGTTCAAATATTTCCACCCTTGGTTAAACCATTTCAACTACCACTCCAACCCTTTCCATCACCGGTTCAGTCTTTGCAACATATGTTCAACATTTTTAGTCCGCTGCTCCTACTTTTGTTTCGGATTAGAACGTCGGTTCTTTATCTAATTTTGGTAAACCTGATCACTATGTTTATTTTGATGATACAAATGAAGAGGATTTCAAAAAGTTTTATGCTTTGACCCAATGTTGACGAAAACACGTACTCGTAAATATACGAGGTCGTACAAATAATATAGTTGTAAGACCAGATATCGTACTCATACGGACTATCTATCTTAAAGGAAGATTGATCAGGTAGTTGTTGGTAAAAATGATTTGTTTTGATTAAACTAATGAAATTGATTTTTTAAAAACTAAAATAAAATAGAATTTAGCAAGCAACCAATCTTTCTACAAGAAATTATATAAGGAAATTCAGTAACGCGATACTAAAATCAGAGGGACTTAAGAAACAAACACACAATTTGGGATTGAACAAACAAGATGAAAACGGGGTTTAGTTGACGTTTACGGGTCCATGATTCATCTAAAACAATTAATCAATTAACACAAATGTAGTGGTTATAAATTTGCTAACACCAGTTAAAATTACGGGTCCATGATTCTTCCTTGCCAGGTCGGGGGCCAAAACCCTTACAGACAAGTGCTAGGAGCCATCTCCTGGTCTTCCATGCAATCATCACATAGACAACTAGCATACAATCTACAACTACTTATCTAACTAACTGCCAGAGTTCAGACTCTGGTATTGCATACAGATTGCCAGGAGCCTCCTCCTGGTCTTTCATACAAAATGCCAAGGGCCACCCCCTGGTCTTCCTATAATACATAAACCAAATGGGCCCGCATTGGTGCCTTCGACCATAGAACAGTGAGGAGACTCACCTCGACAACTGAACCCACGAATAAATCTCTGACTGCTGATCTGCTAAAATCCCCACGCTATCAAACAAATAACACCCAATTAACAATTGGGTTCCTGACCAAATCCAACAATCCAAATATGGGGTAAAAAGACCATTTTACCCCTCATCCTACTTTGGTCCAAGACTAAGGCCCAAACTCACAATCATAAAGGCCCACAAACCAATAATCATCTAAAGCCCACTTACGGCCCAATTTTCCAAATTGGGCCCAAACCCTTACATGGGCCTTACCCTAAATCCCATTAACTTTTCCTTAATCCAAAACACATAATCTAAGATGACCCAACAAAGCCTAAGCAACCAAGCCCAAACCCCAAAACCAAAATGACATCACAAGGCCTTAATATCCAACTTAGGGCCAAATCCATCATGCAACTATCCCGAGAAGGCCCAATATCCTAAAAGGCCCAAAATATCCAATGGTCAACCATAGACCACTTCTCATCAATGGTCAAATGCCCCCAAAAGCCAACAATACAAGAATAACTGAACAGGCCGAGTACGCCCCGCGTACTCAGCTCGTACGCCCAATGTACACCCTTTTAGGGCCAGTACACGCAACGTACCAGATGGGTACGCCCAACGTACTCCCCTTAGTCACATTCTCCTCTATTATGCACTTAACCACTTAAGTCCTTGCTCCAAATTCTCACATCTGATTCCTATGGATGACTTATTACGTAAAGTTGACAACTTTACTTGTATACATTGCTTAATGGGTTTCTAAAGCTCAAAAGAGCTTAATGAAGGGTCTTAACACATGCATGAGTCCAAATAAACCATAAATATCACATTTTTATGCCATTGGGACACCTAAAACGTCTAGATCTACAAGATCAAGTCTCTGAAATAACCTTAGCTCATAAGGACCATCCAAAAGTATGTTGGAAATAGGTTTCCTTATTGGAAAAAGGTTTCCTAATGAAGATGATATCCCACATGGCAACCAAGGTAAAATATTAATCATTTTGTTGTGCATTAATGGGACTGGAAATCATACTTCACTTCCTCCACCTCCTCCAATTATTCTCCCTAACCCACAAGTTCAAAGACTTGAAAAACTTCAATGTCACTCAATCCCTATTGGCAAGCAAAGACAAAGATGGAAATTATGTATGTGCTTACATATTGACAAGCCGGGAGAGTTGAGTGTCGAAGTATTGGGAAAGTTGGCTGTTGAATAGGTTCTTCAGTCACTTCCTGAGTCATATAGTAGGTTCTTTAAGGACTACTATATGACAGACCACGACATGACCCTTATTGATCTAACATATTTGCTTGTTACTGCTAAATCAGAAATGGTTTGGCGCACTGGTAAAACAAATTTGATTGGAAGATCTACTTCCCAAGTTTCCATGCCTGACTACCTAAGAGATCTAAGAGATGGTAAAGTCAAAATGTTTGACTCTACTTCAGGAATGTTCACTATCTAACTCTCTTAAGTTCCTAATGATTGATTCTTAATACATGATGTGAAAGGATTGCATTTTGATGTCTTGTAGAATCAAAGGAAGCTTAAAGGAAGAGTATGTTGAGTCTAATCGCAAAGAAATGAATTTCGATTGCATGGTTCGGTGATCAGATTTATGAGCTGCTGCTTATAGAGTTATGATAGATTGCTTAGGAATAGATAACAACATAGTTTTCACTTGTATTTGCATTGTAAGGATAAGTTTTCCGCAATTTTTTATTTTAAATAAAAGGAAAATTTTTGATTTTATTTATTTTAAGTATCCTTACAATGGCATTTGTGAAAATTGTTGTTTATATGTTTCCATTGATAGCAATATTGGAAAAAGGATTTGATTCTTTCATTTGTGGTAGTGTCATAATTTAACAAAATAAGGAAAGATTCTCATCACCCTAGTTTCAATTGGATAGAAACTTGAAATCATGCAACTTGTATTTTATGATGAATGAGAATTTTCATCTTTGGAAAATTAAGACTAATTCCTTGTTCACATGAAGATGTGAGTCAAGTGAAGGACTGGGAGAGCTGGTGCACTTGGTTGTGTGCTGGTTAGGTCCACCACATAGATCGATAAGACTATTCGTCATGATTTACTAAAGTTTAGTAAATATGGTTATACTTACAAGTTTAAGTATAATTCTGAATCATTGAAAAAGTTTCAATGTATAGCAGGACAAATAAGAAGAATCAAATTAGGCAGAAAGATAAAAGTTTCTCTAATCTGAAAGGATGGGAGAGTACTTTAGTATCGTGTTTGATGATCATCTTAATGATTATGAAAAATCATATTACAATTGATCCTCTAAGGACATCTTAGTTCATTTGTATGGCTAAGTAGAGGAATCGTGAATTATTGAAATGATTAAGTCAAGAAGATGAATCATACTTTGTTCCAAAATCAATCTTAGAGTTGTACTCCAAAATTGTAACTTGAGTGACATAATCTTAAGAAAGGTTTATAAAACTTATTAAATGTAGAGTAAAATGTTTCTTACTCTTGTACATTTGAAAATGGTAAGTTGTGATGTTTTGGATAAGACAAAGACCAAATAAGACCAATTGTGTGAAGTGTTTTTCTTGATAAGAATCCGCACTAACTCTTAAATATTTGTTTATCAAGGAATGGTTCTTGACATAGATAATCTTATATGTCAAGAGGTCAGTGGGAGTCTTAAGGATCTTGACAAGTTTCAAGAACTAATCAAAAGTAAACCTATCGCTAGCACACGACTTGAGGTTTATAACCTATCGTGTTGACATATTCTTATTTTTGTGTCCATTCCAGCTAAAGTTAACTATGCATGAGAGTTCTATGAGCTCTTAGTTGAAGGCATAGGGCAAAGCACCTTAATCAATGGAAAGTACATATAATTTGATCCTGTTTACTTTTCAGCTAATCGCTCCAACGTCGCGACACTCAGAGTGCGCCAACAACAAACTCGCGGAGCAAAGCTTGCTTTGTAAAGCATTTACAAGGGATTTGCAAAGTGTGCACTACTGACCAGTCACACAAATTTCCCATTCAGCGGGCATAGAAATATAACTCCCAACCTGGTGTTGGTTGCGGGTATCGTCCCCCTCATCGGGGCGCGCGCGACGCTCAAAGCGTCTGTTTCTATTAACACCTTTCAGCTGTGACTGGAACGTGGGAATCACAGACCAAGTACGTTGCATCTATTTACAGACTTCGGAGCTCGACACAACAACTGCGCCGAATAACAGTCTCAGAGACTGTATGGCGA